CCACATCCCCACTCACCGGGTGACATCCCCCTCACCCTGGCAGACAACGCAACGCAGATCCTGGTGGCTGTGGGGCAGGACCTGGCCCTTCTGGATGTGCGAACCCAAGCCTACCGGCCCCTGCTCTCCACTGAGACCGAACCCCGAGCCCTGGTGTACGACCTGCTCCGAGAAACCTACTACTGGCTGACAGAGGATGGCGAACTCCGCGCTCGCCTCCCGGGGAAGGGCACGCAGCCCCTCTATGCAGGTGGGGGGGAGCAAGGGTGCTGGGTGCCACAGCGGGGCTGAGATGGGTGCTGAGAGCTGGCCTGCCACCCCAGCCCTGCCCTTCCCGTAGAGCAAGGGGCAGCCTGGGTTTTGCCTCCCGGCCTGGAGCAGGGGTGGTGTGCCTTAAACCACTCTGTCTCTGCAGATGCCGGGGAGGTGAACAGCATCTCCGTGGACTGGTTCACAGGGCAGCTGTACTGGGCCAGCAGCCACCCTGCAGCCATCTGCGCAGGGCTGGGCAATGGCCGGGGCTATGTGACAGTGGTGGGGAAGGACGTGGCACCGGAGCAGCTGACAGTGCATCCGGCTGCAAGGTGAGGAGGGAGTGAGCCAGGATCGGCCCTGGGCTCCTGGGTGAGCGATGCTGACCGTGTCATGCCTGCTATGGGACTGTGGCAGCACTGGTGTTATGCCGTGAAGTGGGTGCTTAGTGCCTGCCCCCAGGTCCCTGTACTGGGTCAACCGTGGGCAGAGGGGCCGGACAGTCATTGCTGCAGCTGGCATGGATGGCTCAAACCGGCGGGAGCTCACAGTGGTGTCCATGGAGGAGCCTGTGGGGCTGAGCCTGGACCATGTGGCTGGCAGGCTGTACTGGATCAGCGAGTACAAGGAGGTAGGGATGTGGGGCAGCAGGGCTCTGCCCCCCCAGGTCCTGGGAGGTGATGGGGTGGGAGTGGGGAGGGTGGCCCTGGTTCCCCTGGGGCTATGGCCAAGGCATGGGAGGGACCAGGGAGCGGTGCCCAGGTCTGGCACACATCCCTGGGCTGGGAGGGGGAAGGCACCACTGTGAGCCCCGTGGCTGTGGGACAATGCCAGGGTGTGGGGTGCCACATGGTCACCGTGCCTTGCCTTGCCCCAGTCCATCGAGACGCTGCGGGTGGATGGCAGCGGGCGCCACTCCTTTTCCACTGTCCTGCGGAGCCACACGGAGCCACTGGGCCTGGCTGTGTTCGAGAACCGGTTCTTCTGGACCGATGGCACAGAGCTGGTGTCGGCCACCCGGGCCTTTCCCCAGGAGCACGCAGTGTTGCTCCGCGCCCCTGTCTCGGCTTTCACTGTGCTGCACGCGCTGCAGCAGCCTCCTCGTGAGTACCCTGCTGGGTGCCCGCACCGGTGTAGGGCTGGCAGCACCCCCACCGCTTCCCTGGGTGCTAAGGGAGGCTGCGCTGGGTCCTGGAGCTCACCGGGTCTGCCCAATGGCTCTCCTGGTCCTGCAGTGAGGGGTTGTGGGGTTGTGACAGAGGGGACGTATGGACCCGTAGGAAAGCTGCCGAGTCCCGTGGCTTCTGGTAGAGCTGAGCCCTCCTACCTCATGTGACACTGCTACCCTGCCTGGGGTAGCCGGCCTGTATCCAGCCCTGGGACAGCCTGTGGTTTTTGGGGATTGGGAGACGCATGGAGGGTCACGGCTGCCTGAGCTCTTCAATGTCCCCTTGCTCCCAGGGGACACTGCTGCGTGTGCTCCGGGCCTGTGCAGTCACATTTGCCTCCTGTCCCCTGTGCACCCTCGGGGCTACAAGTGTGCGTGTCCAGAGGGCCTCTTCCTCCTGCCCTCGGGGAAGTGTGCAGGTGAGCAGGGTCTGCAAGGTGGGCTTGGCTGTCCAGGGCAGGATGCATCCTTGTGGGCATCAGAGGGGGGCTGTAAGGGGCTGTGGCTTTGGTGGGATGAGATTCCCAGCACGCAGCAGTGCTGTTATGTTTCTGCCTTGGTTCATGCTGGTGACCCCGTCCATTGCCCCCAGGGCCGTGCTCACACGCTGACCTTGTACCCCGCAGAGCTGTCCATCGTGTACGCATCGGGGAAGGCCATCTCCCTGGTTCAGGTGGGCCCTGGAACGCACAGCAAACGGCTGCAGGAGTGGCAGGAACCCCTCCACCTGCAAGATGTGGACTGGCAGAGGTCGGTGCTCTACGGGACGGATGACCGTGGTACGCTGCTGCGTGTCATGGGGCACCCTGGCAGGAGAGAGGCCATTGCAACTGGGCTGCCAGGTGAGACCCTATGGGGTGATGGAAGGCATGCTCCCCTTCCTGGTGCTCCCTGAGGCCTGAGGATCTCCTGAGTACAGAGCACAGCAGTCCCATGGTGCCCACACTGGGGCTGTGCCGAGGCACCGCGCAGCTGTGCCCTGGTTTTAGGGGCAGGGGGGACCCAGGCAGAGGAGCAGGGTCATGGGACAGACCTGTAACTGCTTGCCTGCCTACTCTTGCCAAGTCTGCTCTGCCCGTGTGGACATCCACTCCGGGGACCTGTACTGGCTTGCATGTAACCGGAGGGACATCGGTGTGATCCAGGCATCTGACATGTCCCTGCGCATCCTGCACCGTGCTCGCAGCAGCATCCAGCACCTCTTCTTGGACTGGCAGCGGGGCGCTCTGTACTGGCTGGC